GAAACTTTTGAAAAAACATAACCTACAAACAGTATTCAGGCCCACCACAAAAATACAACAAATGTTACGGTCAGCAAAGGACAAAAGAGACCCCCTCACCACTGCAGGAGTATACCAGATGCATTGCAGTTGTGGCCAGGTATATATTGGAACCACAAAATGCAGCATTCACACCAGAATCAAAGAACATGAGAGACACTGCAGACTAAAACAACCAGAAAAATCTGCAGTAGCTGAACATGCCATAAAGCAAGCTGGACATGAAATTCTGTTTCAAAATGCTGAAGTACTGAACAACACCAGCAATCATTATGTTAGACTGCGCAGGGAAGCTATTGAAATCCACAAACACCAGCAGAGCTTCAACAAAAAAGAAGAAAGCTTAAAATTCAACAAAGCCTGGCTCTCAGCACTGAAAAATACAGCTTGCAAAAGGTCAACAAACTCTACCCAGCCAAAAGGACCAGTGATCACTGCACACAAAAGACCAGCTAACAACACCCATCAATCACAGTGACAGATTATCTCTCCCCCTTATCACAACAATACATCCACAACAAAAACACACTGATCATCATAATCACCCAATCTCCTGAAAAGGACAAAAGCTGATCCTACAGCTATAAATACTCAGCTATCCAGCAAACTGCACCAGAGCACAGAAAGAGTTCTGACTCCCGTCCTCTGAAGATGCTGGCCACAGACACTGGTGAAACGTTAGGAAGAAAAACCTTGAGAACACGGCCAAACAGCCCAGAAAACCTATAACAACTATTCATTTTATGTTATCCGTGGAGGTGGCCAACATCATGGAAAGAGCTGAAGATTTTTTGGGATCAAATTTTAGGATACGTATTCATTTTATGTTATCCATGGAAGTGTTATCCGAAAGAGCTGCAGATTTTTTGGGATCAAATTTTAGGATACGCTATTCTCCTCCTTATTGAATGCTTTCTACCTTTGCCTTTTTGCTTTTTAGATTTTGTAAATATGGGTTCAAGCTGTTGTTTGTATTGGGAATGAAGCTTCCACTGGCATATAGCTTTAAACTCCAGCAATTTCAAACAACTGCTACTTTGATGTGATATCAATCCTCTCTCTCTTACCTCTCAAACTGCTTTTCCTGCCTGTCCTCAGTTGTTTGGTCTTTTGCATGCCCAAAGGCAAACTTCTATTACAAGAGCTCCTTCTGGTGGCTTTTTGAATTATAATAATTGCTCTTTGAAAGAGGAGTTCAGGCAAGCCGCTCTGCTTGTAGTTTCACTTAAAGGTCAGTGCACTTAGAGGACTAGAAAAAGAGATTCTTTTCCTAAAATATTTTTGGTGGAAACGAGCACGAAATAGCTAGAATGCAAAACATATCTGATTTTTTTAGAAAATTTGCTTATTCTGAAGAAGGGTCCCCCCCTCTGCACCCTCTAATTAATTTTTTTTTTCCTTCCAACAGCTGGACAGCCAACCATTATGTGATGCAAGCCTAAATATGAAACAATTGCTACAGATAGAGGAGGAAGCTGCTGCTGTAGATCTATAAATATGTATTGTGTGTGGTGTTTTTTTTAAAAAATATGTTTGCCTGTTTAAGTCATGTAGGAAATTCTTTGTATCCTTCCATTAAATTTATTTCAATCTATTTATGAGAAAGTAATCAGAACCTCTTCTGGATTAAAAGTATCCAAGGTTTAAGTTAATTGTACAATCCCATCCTTTTACAAACAGGAAAGAAACCTGAAGTTGGTAATTTCAGAATGGTGGATGCTAATGAGGAGCTAGCTTTAATTTTCCAGTAATATATGGTATTTTTAATGCTCTTTAAAATGAGCATTAGTGAGTTAATACGGATTTATAACTGCAGTTTCTATTTTTGATGTATATGCTATACGCTATAGAGTCCTTCAGAATATTATGAAAATGGCATCAGAGGGCATGCTGTCCATATTTCAGTTTCTAAGCTTAAGTAATATTACCCTTTTAAAAACGAAAATGTATATTTCAGTCTGTTTGCTTGGGACTTAGTATTCCATTGTGCTTTAATACTAAAATCCAACGGGGGAATTATTTGTGAAACTTTTTTTGTTCTATGTTTGGAAAATGTAACTTTACTTGCACCTCAGACAAGTTACTAGAACTGAAGAATTTCTCCTTATGTTGACTTATTTTGTATTTGTAAATAAAGTTGCTGATGCTGCACTTATGTGAATTGAATTGTATTTTTATTATCTTACCTGAGGGAAGAAAGTCTGCAGGAAAGAAGCTGCAGCAATGTACAGTAGAGTATAATTTCATTTGAGTACATAACTTCTACCACTATTCCTTCTTTATACTTATTTATTTGGCATCAGTAACCCAATGTTTCAAAAAGTTATCAAACTATAGTAAACCTGACTTGGAAATATTGTATAATATTCTTTCTTAATCAGATTAATGCAGCAATTAAATCAGGCATGTTAGAATTTTATATTATGAGTTTTGAATTAATTCAGGAAATTCTCTGGTGTCTTGATGAGTTTTATTGGAAAGTTTTGTTTCACAAGAGTCGATGGCGGCTTTAAATGTTCAGGGTGAAAGCCAAGTACTGAGTATGCCTTGCTTCTCTCTACCCTGTTGGACAGAAGTTCTGAAGCTTTCTAGGTTTCGGGAACCTTGAGACATGGCTCTTTTAGTGAGGAACTCCATCTCTCTTCAATTGTCGTGTAAAGCCCACACTACAGAGCATTTTGAGCATTAAACTTCTAGAAGCCACCCCTCAGCTAGGCATTGGCCAGAGATGCTGGGCTTCCTCATGTTGAACTGCCTGAGCACTGACCCAGTCTTCTAAATGAAAAAAGCTACAGTCAGCAAAGGACAGAAGGGACCCCCTCACCACTGCAGGAGTATACCGGATTCCTTGCAGTTGTGGCCGGGTATATATCGGAACCACACAACGAAGCATCCACACCAGAATCAAAGAACGTGAGAGACACGGCAGACTAAAACAACCAGAAAAATCTGCAGGAGCTGAACATGCCCTGAAACAAACTGGGCATGAAATTCTATTTCAAAATACTCAAATACTGGACAACACCAGCAATCATTACGTCAGACTGCACAGGGAAGCCATTGAAATCCACAAGCACAAGCACAGTTTCAACAAAAAGAGGAAAGTGTGAAGCTCAAAAAAACTTGGCTCCCAGCTCTCAAAATTACAGCGTGCAAAAGGTCAACGAACTCTACCTAGCCACAAGGACAGGAGATCACTACACACACAAGACAAGCTAATGACACCCATCAACCACAGGAACAGATAATCTCTTCTCCTTAGCACAACAATACACCCACAACAATACACACTAATCACCCATCTACAGAAAAAGACAAAAGCCTATCTCACAGCCATAAATACTGCACTCCCAAGCCAACTACACCAGAGCACAGAGTGCTGTCCTCTGAAGATGCCGGCCACAGAGACTGGCAAAACATTAGGAAGAACAACCTTCAGAACACAGCCAAAGAGCCTGAAAAACCCACAACAACCAACTCCAGTTGTGATCACACTGCAGCTCTGGTAGTATTATGCAGAATAAGAGATGAAAACCACTAAACTGCCTTGACTTACACTAAAGGTGAGCTATAAAATTTGTAGGCAGTTTCCATGTTGCCACATAAATCACCATGTAGATTGAATCTGTAGTATTACCAAAATGGTGGCCATAGTGAATGACGATGAAGAGACTAATTGTAGTTGTACAACTTTGTACAGCAGTGTTTTGAATGTGTGATTGCATCACACAGAATGATTTGTAGTTTTATTGGCATACTTCTGATACATAATCATTCATGTCAGTAATCATCATCTTGTGGGATTTCTGCATGCAAACTGATAGACACCTTGAACATAACACACCAGACAAAGTAGTAGTAACAGAATGAAGAAATATATGGATCATTGACATTGCAATTCCAGGGAATGCCAGAGTTGAAAATAAAGAATTAGAAAAACTAACAAAATACAGGGATCTGGCAATCAAAACATCTCACCTGGGAATGAAACACACTTCAGGGGTCTCCACAATCATTGGTGCTTTGAGAACAACATCAAGAAATTTCACACCATCTTATAAGCAGTTGCAGATCTCAGAAATAACACCATCAGAGCTACCAAAAATATGGAAATATTATGAACAAATATTAGGAATTAAATACTGTGCCAATATTTAACAGATACTTGGGTTTTTTTGTTAAAACTTTTATCTGTTATATAATACCAGTCAATGTTTTTATAATGTTGGTTGACTGTGTCTGGTATTTTTGAACAAAAATAATAAATGTGCTGTCAAGTCAATTCAGAATTATGGTGATCTTTTTCATGATTTTCCAAGTAGAGAACACTCAGAAGTTGTTTACCATTTCCTTCTGGGGGCACCCTGGAACTGTAGCCCCAAGGCCACACAGCCTGGCTCTACTCACAGGAGACACAGTGGGAGCTCAAATTCCCAATCTCTGGCTCTGTAGCCAGATAATTAAACCACCACTGACATATAATTGTTTTCCCAAGGCAAAAGCAATATAAAATCATAACCTTTTCATTATTGCAACCAGTACACAATTTAATGAATGTAAATCATACAGATGCCTGACCTTATTTCCCTGGACACTATCCCTTATTATTTATTTATATTTTGTATATGCTGCCTTTCTCCCCATAGGGCAGGGATCAAGGAACTTTTTTACCTTTTACCCCCCAAAATAATTTATATATGCCGACATTACCCCCTTGATTTGAAAAGAAGGAAATCATACATTATTTGAATTAAAAATATTATTGAATCTATACAGGCTGTGTACCGAACTAGGAGGATGCACCAAATTTGATAAAGATGTGTGCTATTTTTGCTTGAAAACATTGCACTCCAGCCACGTAGTATAGAGAGTAGTAAGGTGTCCAACGTGCCTAGCAAGTTGCATTACATTTTTGCTAGCTCGCAAAGGGTTTATTCATTGTCAGTGGCTACCAGAGTGGTGCTAGCAATGACATGCTTGCTAGAGACAGCCAATGCAGAATTGGGGAGGGGGCTTTCCCTACCACTTTAATCATTCTATGTGTGCAAAAAGGAACAAATCGGGCTAAAGGCCATGTCACCCACCCTGGTGCCACAGCCCAATATCAAAGGACCAGTGTGCTTTTTTTATAATCATCAGTGGAAAACTCAGCAGTGGCCAGAGGACTGGAAAAGATCAGTCTACATCCCAATCCCAAAGAAGGGCAGTGCCAAAGAATGCTCCGACTACTGTACAATTGCACTCATTTCACATACTAGCAAGGTTATGCTCAAAATCCTACAAGGCAGGCTTCAGCAGTATGTGGACCCAGAACTCCCAGAAGTACAAGCTGGATTTCGAAGGGGCAGAGGAACTAGAGACCAAATTGCTAACATGCACTGGATTATGGAGAAAGCCAGAGAGTTCCATAAAAGCATCTACTTCTGCTTCATTGACTACACAAAAGCATGACAGAAAGTGAGGAAGAATTAAAGAACCTCTTGGAAGGAAAGCAACGATAAACCTAGACAGCACCTTAAAAAGCCACCCTTCCCCCCGCCTTAATTCAAGGTTTCTCTTTTTCTTGCCTGTTCTTTTTCATAGTTTTGAGTCAGTCTCTCTCACTCACTC